GCGGGGTGGGGGGGGTGGGGGGGTTATTTATTTATTTATCGCTTCTGGTGGCTGCAGCTGGCAGACCTGGGAAGGAGTAGGCGCCATTGCCAGAAGGATTATTGTCAGGGGAGAAGAGAGAAAGGGGAGGGGGGCGGGGGGGGGGGGGGGGGGGGGGGAGGGGGGCCCCCCGGGCGCCCGGGGAAGGGGGGGGGGGGGGTTTGCCGCCCCCCCCCCCGCGGGGGGGGCCCCCCGGGGTAGGGGGGGGGGGGGCCCCCCCCCGCGGGCCTCCCCCCCCCCCCCCCTCCCCCCCCCCCCCCCCCCAGTTCTTCTCCTCCTCCTCCTCCTCCCCCCATCCAGCAGCATGCATCCCTCTGCGCGGAGCCCGGCCGCCGCCACCTCCAGCCCTGCCATGCTGCTGCTGCTCCTGTGCCTGGGCTGGGTGCCGCCGGGCTGGGGCTGGTCGCGGGGCAGCTCCCGGGGGGCTGCTGGCTTGCCCCCCAACGCCACCACGCCGATCTCCATCATGGGCTTGATGCCGCTCAGCCAGTCCGAGGAGGACCAGAAGAGCAGGATCGGCCGGGGGGTGCTGCCCGCCGTGCAGCTGGCCATGGATCAGATCCGCAACGAGTCCCTGCTCAACCCCTATTTCCTGGACCTGCGCCTCTACGACACGGAGGTAGGGCTCGCCGGGGACGCGCCGCCGCCCAGTCCCGGGGCGCAGCGGGGCCGGGGCGCAAGGGCAGCGCGGACGCGGGGGCTGCGGCGCCGCCGGGAGACGCTCGGGGAGAGGCGGCGGAGGACACGGAGCCGCTCCGTAGGGGCTCTGCCCGCAGGGCCCGAATCCGCGGCGGCCGCTCGCCGCCTCCAGCAACAGATGCACGCCGGCCGCTCCGTCTCCATCCGGATGCCTCCCCTTCCTCGTGCCGGACTCGAGCTCCGGGGGCGGCCCAAGGCGAGCCGGTGGAGATCGGCGGAAAGAGTTAAATCTGCGGTACCGCTGCCCGTGGGATGGCTAAGGGCCGCCCGGCCCCGGCGAGGCCCGGTGCTGTTCGGGGTGCGGAAGGGCTGCGGGCGGGAGGCGGAGGCGTAGGGAAGTTGGTACCCGGCGCTCCAACGCGCTCCGTTCGGGTCGCAACTTCGCTAAACGGAGGAAGATGCCGGCTCGATGCGGAGCCCGCCCTCAAGGTGGCAGCCGCCCCGCGTGAATCGCGCCGCGCTCCGTTCCACGACAGCCCCCGGTGCGGCGCGGGGATGGATGCTGAGAGCCCCCGCTGCGCTGCGGGAGCCCCTCTCCGGCTGGAGAGCGGCGATACCGGGCTGTGCTGACTCTCCGTACTCAAGGTCGCCCCGGAAATCTCTCCATGTGCGGCGGCTGCCCTTCACCGACACGCATTTGTCGTGGCGTTGTTTCGGATGGCTTGGGGCGGTAGCGGTGAGGGTGTCGTTTGGGTGCTGTTGGGTGCAGAAGGCTGGGATGCTGCGCCAGGAGCGGCCCCGAGATGCCGTTTGTCTCCTTAAAAATGAACCTTTGAGATCAGAATGAAAAGAATTCTGGGGGATTTTTGGAATGGCACTACCTGTTTCATAAAGTGTGGTCTTGGGGAGAAAAAAGATCACGGTTCTCCCAGTCCCGTGTTCATGATATTATTCCATTTAAATCCACCCCTCAAATGGGATCGTTGCAAAATAATGAGTGCACAGGAAGTGGAGAAGCAGGAGCCTTCCTTCTGCACACACATCCCAATCAATGAGGGGCTGCACCTGATTGCAATCAAAATATTTTACAGTTGTTTTACAGATTTGGGGTTCTGAGCAGGGTAGACAGCGTTAGGATGTACAGAGCAACTGAAAGAACTGCCTGATTGTCTCTGGAATGCGCACCGGTTCCTTAAAAATTGCATTTTTACTGTTCGGTACTCCAAGGGTGTGAAGGATTGGGATTCTGCTGCCCGTGTGCTGTGTGGCTCTGGATGCTTTTAAGCAATTAATAAATGGATGGCTATGGAATGCTAAATCAGGCAAATCTATGTATTTGGAGAGCGGTCAGGTCATTATTGCACGCTTAATAGTGACAAGTAAATAAATGAGTGAGTGTTCATAAGGAGCATCGCAATGGAACAGGAACATTAACTAGAACAGCCTTTAAATGCTTAATGGTAGCACAAACTTTTTCGTTGTGCTCAGCCATTACCTTTTGTCTTATGATAAGCAGAAGGGTTGCTCCCTTCTGCTGCTCGCTCGGTGCTCAGCCTGTTCTCAGACTGCTGGTAGATGGATGCACCCGAAGGGCCTGGATCCTTGTCCTTATGTAACCACAAACCTGCTCCTCTCCAAGACCTCGCAGGTGCTTTGACTCTGGCTGCTCTTGGAGAGAGAATGTGGGACCCTGAGCACCTGGGGTTTTTGTACAGCCAGAGAAACGTTTGTTGTGTAGATGTAGAGCCTGGGAAATGCACGACAGTGATTTAGGAAATGCATGGCAGTGATTCAGAAACTCCCTCGTGGAGTTCCAAAATCACCCGCTGTTACGAACTGATGTTTGTGTTGCAGCTTTACGTAACACTTCAATAAAAATCTTATGAAAAATAATCATGAAATTATTATAAAGACAAACAAATCAGATCTCTTTTCATTATTGAGGCGGCTTCCCGGGGAAGTTGAACTACATAATGTTTGCTTGATGTTTCTGTACAGTGGAACATGGGAGTGTCCATATTACTGACCACCACTGGAATTGCAGTGGGGTTCCCAACTTGGGCTGCTCTCTGTGTCTAACCCTTGAGCACTGCAGTGGCATTCCTAGTGCTTATCAACACAGTTAAGCTGATGGAAGCTCAGAGTTGACTGTAGTCCTTAATCCGTTATCTCAAGCAGCTATGATTCTGTGAATGATATCTTCAGTGCAAAATAAAACCACAGGTTACAGCAAGTATATATGCAAACATGGAGGCTTCTGACTTGAGTACTGTTGATGGTTGAATATGTCTGGAGCATGACCCCGATGCAGTTCAGTGAGCCCTGCTTTGCTGGCCCGTGGGCACAGCTTTATTTGCTCAGACATTCCTGTCCAGGTTTGGTGAATATAATACAGCTCAGGTGGAGATGTTTGCAGAACTCCGGTATAAGTTGTGGTGAATTCAGGTAGTCCTGCCCATCTCAGGGAGAGCAGGAACAAAGCTGAGATGAAACTCTTAGACAAAGTGTCATAATTAGGTTATTTTAGAAACAAGAGTGATTATCTGTAAGGAGTCTTATCCAAGCCTATTGAAATTAATGGCAGTAATTCACTGATTCCAGCAGCCCTTGGACCGGGTCCTGGAAGTTAAGGGCGCTTGATAGTTTATGGCTTTGGATCAATACTGTGATACAGTATTTCTTCTTTTTCCAAACCCTGTGATTGTAACTATAGTTTGCTGAAAATGCAAAGAAATTTCTTGCAGAATAGTGAGCTCGGCTCTCCAAACGCTACACGCAGTTCTCAACTTCATTTAAATTGGGAAGGATGTTATCTACACAAGCATCCTGGCACACATCTGTTGGAGGGAAAAAAGCAGAATAATCCTAAAATAAGGAGCTAAGCCTTCTAATAGAGAATGTTATGCATTTCAATAGTATTTAATTTGCATCATGCGAAAACTGACCTCGCTGAAACTAGAGGAAGAAGCACAGTGGGAGAAGACAAGGGCCTTAATGGAAGTTGGATATCTGCCCTTCTGCATCTGGACATTTTCCCTTGAATATGGAATATATTTTCTGATTTCTTGTAGGATCAATGCTGCAGGTGTTGCAGAGAGAGGATGATTTTGTTTTGAATCTAAACATTTATAGCCGGGAAAGTCGTGTCTGCAGGTTAGGATGCTGTCACTTGTTTTTTTGGAGAGCAAAGGGAGTCTAAACGATCTGAAAAACACCTTCCAGAACCAAGGGGGATATATTATCACAAAGAGAGAAGAAAATTCGTACTACGGTGGTGAGATTATTTAATTTCCTCTAATAACTACAAATAAATTGTAGTAATCCTGATGTAATCTTGTCTTTACATAACAACATACTCTAATACCTTTAAAGAGCATAGAAGGGTGGGCTATGACGCATACACAGAACTCCACAAAAACCTTTTAAGGAAAATGGAAACTTCTTGATATTTGATACATATTTGCCTTCTATTCTATAATTAAGGAGAAACTGCCTCACCTAATTTATCTGACAAGAAGTTATAATATAGATACGTCACAAAAAGGCCTTCTCTTTATTTTCCTTTTACTATGAAAATCTCTGTGTTTTTCAGCAAGACCTTCTTTCTTCAAGGTTTAAAAAAAGTTGTATAGGCTGTGCACCGGTCTGGGTCATTTCTACCAGCTATTCTATGTTGAAAGAGAAGTTCAACCTCCAAGTAAAGCTGTCTTTTGCAGAAAAGCCCACTCAGGACTGCTGTCAACAAAGTTGACTCATGTCTTGTTCCTGCATGCTGGAGTAAGAGTCACACACACTTATTAAGGACAGACAACATAGTCTAGGAGCAGGAGAGGTATTTTCTGGCAATGGAACAAAAGTACAGAGTCCAATGGCTGGGTCTCAGAGGACTGCCAGCTTTTGGTTGCCACCTGAGCAGCTCTTCCCTCACAGAATCGAATGAGAGCATCCCCCTGAGAGAACTGCACACAGTGTGCTGGTTAGGCTGGTTGTCTCAGGAGGCGCAGGCTGGAGTCACTCTCATAGCAGCTGGATTTGTGTGGGAAGTGTGGTAAATCAGGATCTGGGGTGAGCCTGACACACTCTCTACATGGATGATGTACCCCGAGATGAAACTTGAACTCCATCAGGACCCTCCTGCACACGTGGGTGAGCCTGCCTCCAACCTCCAGCTCCTCTGGGGTCAGCCCACCCTTCTGTCTGCAGCCAGGGCAAGCAGTTCCTCAGCACTACTGTTGGGAGGGCATGAAAGGGGCCCCAGATCCAAGCTGTGCAGTGGCACTTCAGCCTCCCCCCAGGACTTGGGCCTGCACGCAGGTGTAGCGGCAGAAGGTCTGTTTTAAGATAACAACATAAACACAGCCCGACTACTTCACATCATTTGTGAGTGTTCTGATTGCTGAATTTCCTGGAGCTTTATTTTCATTTTTAATGCAGAATTTGAAATAGGACAGGTGAGGTGTTGTCCTAGTCATCTGTTCTAAGGGGAGCAGCCAGCTGAATACAAAAAGATGCTAAAAGTCAGACCGAACAGACAGACTCTGGTATTATCGTGAGCTTGTGTCTGGCATATGTTGAAGTTGATGGATAATTTCTTACTTTCAAATATCACTGAGTACTTAATGCTTTCTGATATATGCAGATAGTTTAGACTGATGATATACATGTCATGCTGTACAGGTAATGATCACAGGCTACTCTGCTGGCAGCGTTCTGCCTGGAATGGATGTATTTGTTAAAGCCATCGATGTTCCCTTTGACTTTCATTCAATATGGCTCCACTTAAGGCATATAACCTCTTTTTGCATTTGAGTTTTGTAAACTTGGAAGGAGTCATCTAAAAGTTAAGCATTTATGTTAATTCCATGCTGGTTTTTCCACTGATGCTAAGATGTAGGTGGGGAGAGGAGAGAAATCATGTATTCACAGCACCCACTCCTCTGGGTGTGGATCTCAGACCTGCAGAATGTATATCCTCTAAAT